GCGCCGGCGGAGACGGTGTCGCCGGAGTCGGTGTCCGCGCCATTGTCGGCGGCGGGCTTGGCGGCGGCGGTGACGACGCCGGCGACGATGGAGGCGGCGCCGATGGCGGCGGCCGCGACGGTGGCGGTGGGCTCGGTGGGGGCGGTGACGGAGGCGGCGGCCCTGGCGGTGGCGGTGACGGCGATGGCGGAGAGGGGGCCGGCGGTGAGGGCGGCGGCGGGGAGGGCGGCGGTGGTGACGGCGGCGGCGGAGATGGTGGCGGCGGGCTGGGCGGCGGCGGGCTGGGCGGCGGTGGCGACGGCGGCGGTGAGGGAGGCGGCGGCGAGGGCGGCGGTGGTGACGGCGGCGGCGGAGATGGTGGCGGCGGGCTCGGTGGCGGCGGGCTCGGCGGCGGCGGGCTTGGCGGCGGCGGTGACGGCGGCGGCGGCGATGGAGGCGGCGGCGACGGCGGCGGCGGGGACGGTGGCGGTGGGCTCGGTGGGGGCGGTGACGGAGGCGGCGGGCTCGGCGGTGGCGGTGACGGCGGTGGCGGAGAGGGGGGCGGCGGTGAGGGCGGCGGCGGGGACGGCGGCGGTGGGGAGGGCGGCGGCGGGGACGGCGGCGGCGGGCTCGGTGGCGGCGGGCTGGGCGGCGGCGGGCTGGGCGGCGGCGGCGACGGCGGCGGTGAGGGCGGCGGCGGCGAGGGCGGCGGTGGTGACGGCGGCGGCGGAGATGGTGGCGGCGGGCTCGGTGGCGGCGGGGACGGCGGCGGCGGGGAGGGCGGCGGCGGCGACGGCGGCGGCGGCGAGGGAGGCGGCGGCGACGGCGGCGGCGGCGACGGTGGCGGTGGGCTCGGCGGGGGCGGTGACGGAGGCGGCGGGCTCGGCGGTGGCGGTGACGGCGGTGGCGGAGAGGGCGGCGGCGGTGAGGGCGGCGGCGGCGAGGGCGGCGGTGGTGACGGCGGCGGCGGAGATGGTGGCGGCGGGCTCGGTGGCGGCGGGCTGGGCGGCGGCCGCGAGGGCGGCGGCGGTGACGGCGGCGGCGGCGATGGTGGCGGCGGCGAGGG